AATATGTCAATCGAATAGTGGCGCTTTCTGTGACAAAACGTCTCTTATTTTCAAAAAATGAACTCTTGGATCAGATTGTTTAGTAGAATTTGTTTTTAAATAAAATATACATGTAAATGAATTGTTGTCGCGATATTTTCATCAAGGTTTAAAAATAAAGCCCAGAGAGCGATTTATGTGTTGTTGAAGTGCACCCCCCTCCCCCGAAAATTCTTGAGGTGATAGATGCAAAATCCTGTTCGATTTATACCATGTTGCCTGCTTTCAAAACACATAGGACGCGTAGTTTTAGAAGACTTAAAGGGTGTGATAAGAAGGAAGCGTTTTTTAAACTTGTTCCTTTCCCAACATCAGGAAAAAGATCGATTTATTGATGGGTTAATTGTTGATTGCGTAAGGTCCAGAGACAAATATTTTATGCATGCTCAATTCACGGAGTTAAACCTTTGAAAGGTGGCGGAAATGAACTGACTGAACATCCAGTGACATATTTTTGGAATATTTATTTTGACAAGATAAAAAAAAAGATTCACCAATTTATCAATATCGACTCTTCGTTTATAGACCACGTGATTCATTTTGGTAGCTCTATTCGGGCATTCATTTGCTTCACGTTTATGGAACTATTTTTATTTTGGGCTAGATTTTACAAGTTTGGCGTTTTTATTCAAATTTATTGGGAAATTTTATGGTTAGTGATTTCATTGTTTACTAGGCCAAGGAGGTGGAGCCAGACTGTACAATAATAACTTTTAAGATGGAAGTAAGAGCACTGGTCTAAGCTCCTCCCGTTCGTTGCGTTTCCCATAGTAAGCGATCAACGGCGGGATTCGAAAGTGAAATAACTAAAAAAATCATCTAGTTAATGCACTCCTCTATAAATAACAGAAGTTAACTCACTCGAAAACCAAAGGAAAAATTAGTATTCATGTAACATGATGTTACAATTCATTATTGTCTGCCTAGTATAAGCACCAGCGACAAAATATCACATGCATGTTTAATACATACTCAGGGGAGATATTAACATTAGAAATCAAATTGGGATTAATTTAGTACATGAAGTACAGAGGGGCGGAAGGACCTTTTTCGGGACGTCAGGATTAGGCCTTTATATTTGGAGGAATTCGGGATTTACCCTAACCGGGACTCGGGAATTAATGATTAATTTCACGGGATCCGGGAAAGAATGTTTTATTTTTTCGGGAATTCGGGATGACAGCCCCTCCTATCGCCCCTCAGTATAGGTTATCATTTGATATTTAAAAAATATTCATTAGAAAATGTGTACAATGCACCAATGAAAAGAATACGGAAGAAAAGGGTGCTTTACTAAAATATTCCTGTTCTTGAGATTTCAAAAGTAAAATATATAAAATGTCTTAACTTCATGTTGCTGTTTATGATTGGTTCCTTAGTATTAGCTAAACGTTTTAAATTATTTTTCATATTAAATGCTTAAATGCACCAGACTTTAAATTCAGTATAGAAATAAGCTTTCATGTCATGTCAGGGCCTTTTATAGCCGTGTATACGGTATGGGTTTTTCTCATTGTTGAAGGCCGCACGGTTGCCTATAATTGCTTACATCCACTGCATTTGAACTTAGGTGGATAGTTGTCTCATTGGCAATCATACCACATCTCCTAATTTTTATATTCTATTTAAAAAAAATTGTATGTTACGTTTACGTTCATAGTTAATGGCGTTTTTCTTATAATGACTTTATACCTCGATAAGCCTGGAAATGGCATGGCAGGTCACAATTATGAACTCAAAATTTTCATTTTAATCATACAGGTTACGAACTAAATTGTCTAATAATAGATGTATCTATATATATGTGTGAGGTATAATAAGGATTATTATAATTCAACGAAAACGACAATATCTATATTCAGCAAAAGTACTTGACCTTCTCCAGTAATAACTTCTTTTTAAAACATTTCATCATAAGAATTGTCGAACCACGACAACTACTGAATTACTAGCTCCTGACTTGGGACAGCCACATACAAATGCGGCAACGTTAAATATGTTTGCAAGGGCTGAACCCTACCCTAACCTTGACAATGATTTATCCCGCAATTCTACTATACACACATACATTCGACAGATAACATGAAGTGATAAACGTAAAGTGTACGTGTATAGTCTCCTGGTATCTTGCTTCTGTTGCGAGCGAATGGTTTTGTTCAAATTTCTGTTTACATAATAGTTCAATTTAGGGTCCTCATCGCGGTCCGCGTTTTTATGGTTTTAATCATGTCGATTTCATACAAAAACAAATTCATCGATTTGGATAGAAAAAACTCTACGTTCAAGGTTAATGTACCCTTTTGTTGTTTCAATGCTAAACATATGGAAGGAAATCTTATAAAAAATCCGCAGCCTTTCCCCTTGCACTTCTATATTTGACAATTCGGTGCTTATAAGATAGAGGATTATTGCATGCATTGCTAGCAATGATTTGCTAAAACAAGCATAGAAATAAAGATATTGATTAAAACAAGTATAAAATGGACTTATTCAAGTACACCTTCTAGGGTGCGCTTGACTTTAGTGACTCCGCACGAGTTGTTTTTTTTCATTTTTTTTTTGGATTGTAAAGGTTGTTTAAGACTTTTTGTAGACAATAAACGATAACATATCATGGGCAAATAAGTAAGTAATCTATGATAACACTTTTATAACGAAATTCTCTTTAATAAAGTCTGTTGGTTTTTTGCAAAAATCTTTGCTTTATTTGCCACCAAATCTCTATTTTCTGTTAAATGCAATGAAATATTTTACAGTATTGCTTTGAACAACGTTTCCCTTTGATATATGTACAAAATGGCAAATCACTTTTATTCTGTATTTTCACTGTTTTGATATTGTTGCACTTTGAAAATTTCATAATACACAGGCCTACAGAAGGGGTCGTCAATCTTAAGTTCAATATAAATTGAATAAAAACAATATTCGTACAGTGTAGGAAAATATAGAATGTATTTGTACTCACTACGAAACAGAAAAAAGCTCGGCAAGCCTCGCTTTTCTCTCTGTTTCTGAAGCTCGTAAAATAAATTTTATATTTCATACACTGTGCGAATATTGTATATGTAACAGCACAGCATAAGAACAACTACACCTTTCTTGTGTTCCTATAACTGAAAACATGTCTAATGGTGCGATCAGGTTTTGTTTGTGCACTGGGGTATATTAGGGGGTACTTTTAGGTGGCGAAATAAGGGAGGGGCTTCAATATAGAACCCTACGGGATTTTTTAGAATTTTATTTTCAAATATGAAAAAAGTTAGTGATATTAGACACATGGGGTCTTCAGTAATGATCATGGGACCATATGGACTACTTCAAGGTTAAAAGGTCAATAATCACTTATTACCTTGACCTTTGACCTTGAACATTATTTTTCAATTTACACAAAAATTCAAATTGAATTTCAATTTACACACAAAAATAAAAACAAAATTGACAGTCTAAAGAATAGAAAATGTTCAACATGATTAAATAAATTAAATGAAATACATGGCTAGTTCCTTAGGGTCACCACCAGCACCTGTCATTTGAAAATGTTCTAGTATTTAGTAAATGGTCCGGCGAGAGCCCCATCCTTAAACCAATTCTTGTTTGTCATGTCAAAATGATTTGAATGATTTGTGGGATTAGTTCCCAGGGGTCACCCCTGCCATTTGATAATGTTGTATTATCTTGTGAATTGTCGAGATCCCAACCCTGGACCACACATACTCCTGTTTTTTTTGTTTTTATTTTTATGTCAAAATGATTCGAATAATACATTAAAGCCAAGGGGTCATCCCCACCCCTGTCATATGAGAATGTTCTTATATCTTGTATTTTTTTGAGATCTCCACCCTTTTACCATCATATTTCTGCAAGATGAATTGAATGAAAAATAGGGGAGTCCCTAGGGGCTTATACTTATTGGGACTTTGTTCGGGGAACTTCGTAACAGCACCGTGAGTACCCTGTTGCAATCATTTCTTGTTTTGCTTCGTGAGTTTACAAATTTACCTAGACTGGTTCCTGTTCCTCATCTGTTTAACAAGGGTGACTAAGATACCCGTAAATTACAAGGGAGAGAACCAGCTTACAACTTTACCATAATAATATTTAACTCCTCTGGCTTTTCCCTGAAGCTATATATTATAAATCGATGATCTTTTCCTTTGTTCCTTCATCGATTTTCATTTGACCAATGTTTTAACTCAAAATTAAGCACACCGACATACACTTATTTGACCATTATTTTAATTGATTATGCACTACTAATATAAAAGCCATCAGTTAGGGAAATGCTGATTGATAGATAATATCAGGGCTGTCTCTTGGATGATAGCAAAACCGACTCTTTTTAAAAGTTTTAATAGGGACTACTTACTCATTGTCCTTAGGTCTATAACCATGTTTTCACTAACGAAATAAAACATGGCGCAATTTGTAATCATTTTAGACAAGAGAAAATATAATTTTCATGCAATAATACATAAGAACATTTTTTAAAGTGTCAATTTACCCGACGATGAACAGACATACCAATATATGTTCAATTCTCTTCACCTTCTTAAATGTAAACTGTCATTTAAATATGTGACTGTAAATTTATATACAATAATTGAATTTAACTAAATCATATCAAAGAAAAATGTCTAACTAGATAAAACATTTACCAACACAGATATGTTATGGTCAAACAACACAATGTTTAGTACAGTAATGCCATGCTTATAAGCTTGCATATGTGATGAATTCTAATTATTTTCGGAAAATTAATTCTGACTTCAATGGTAAATTCAGATAATTAGAAATTTTAACATATACTGTATCAAGTTGTTTACTTTTAAATTGTGGCCTTTTATATAAACGTTTGTTTGTACAGGAATTGATACGTCGTCAAATGACACAAATAACATAACATTCAAGGTTGTTAAAGTAAATATTCATCAAATATACAACCAAATTATACGCTTGACATTTCATACTAAAAAGTAGGTGAATAATTCTAATAGATGTAACTGACATTTGTATTTGTGTATTTTGAAAATGATAAGGACGGTTAAATAAAAATGAAAAGGTAAGGCATATAATATAAGTTAAAAAGCGTCAACGTACACAAAGTAGTAAAAGCGCTAATAAATGTGATGTCATGAATCGAGACCGTTATTATCTAAAAGTGTTGTTTATTAACATGCCGCAAGCTCACGGCAAGTACACCGTCAGCTGATTACAAACCCGGACGCTAGTCAGTAGACAAATATTTTAGTAATTAATGCAGAATTCCTAACTTTCCAATTGTGTTATGATGCAACCGAATAACAGTCCAGTGGGAAATATTGCATGCAAATGATATTTCAATAAGATTTGAAAATATAAAAGTAATAGTCCTCAGGGAGGCATACCTTCTCAGACACAGTTTTTCTTCTGATTTTACGAGCTGACATGTCTTACTCTTAAAAGTTGTGTGCTCAGATCGACCACCGGAAGTCGATGCGAGTACTCTACCACGAGACCGCCGATGTCGTTTATCCAATCTTCAGTACTTGAAATTAAACAAACGAAGGACATCTTGAGGTCGTATGTTTACAACAAATACAAGTAGCAAAGTATAAAAAGATGAAATTGGCAAACGTCAATCTTAGAGGAGAAACTATTAAACAAATATTTCATGAAAAAGAACAATTTGGTTAAAGGACAATATATTTACTTCAGAATATCCGAGTCCGGGTTTGAAATTGACCTAAATAATGCTTAGTTTTCAGAATCAAGTGCTTACTAAAATTATTATTGGCTAAAAAAGAATACTTAAAAGAGCATTTGAAAGTTATAGTTCAATTTCTTGTCAATCATAATTTACTGATAGCTGCTTTTGATGATTTAATTTTACAAGGATTTTACCGTCGAAGTGTATACATGTAATCTCAAACTTTTCAATATTGATCATGATTTAAATAATACATTCTGACTAAATTTTCAGATGCTAGATTATGCAATGATATAACTTAACATAAAATGGCCTGCTTGCCCATGCAAAGCGTAATAAGTTGAACGTGATGTATAGGCGTTTAAACATTTTGATGAGAACACGATTGGTAGCTTAACAAAAGATTACATGTGATGAATTTGAAAAACGTAAAGATTGCACACGTTAAGCACATTATTGCTTTTCTGCTAGCTCCTAATTGTCAAATCCAGACACTCATGTATATCTCTCATAAGGCAAATAGCTCGTACGAATGAATTCGAAGCTACAGGATTGATAACGGAATTGGCAAACAGACTATTTGATACATTTGGTTTCTTAAACTCTTTGTCTCGAGCGTACAGTTATTAAAAAACATGTATATTACGTGCTGAAATGGTACCAGACGCCTATATACTATATAAACACTACATGAAAAGAAAAGAAAAAGGAATCACCACAAAATATCGGACAGTACAACAATCCATACAAACCAACAACACCCAACTCCTCATAAGTACATATAGACAATCGAGAACAAACATCTCACCATCATGATAATGATGGTACAGATAGCCTTACTTAGTACAGACACACACTATGGTGGGTTACACCAGTTTCCATTCACACATCCCTTTTTTGACTATCTAGACTGTATGTTGTAAAAGTTTATTACTAGTATTTTCATTGAAGACCTGTTGGTGACCTTCTGCTGTTGTCTGTTCTATGGTCGGGTTGTTGTCTCTTTGACACATTCCCCATTTCCATTCTCAATTTTATTTATTTTTCACCCTGCAAATGAAAAAAAAAAAAGGAAATCGCTTATTATCATATGATAAATTACTGACTAATTGAATTACAGTACAATGGATGGCCAAGAGGAACCGACAACGCAAGTTACCGAAGATGATACATCGAAAGTTACCGAAGATAATATTCTACCACAAGTCTACAAAAGGCGTTGGATTATACTTTTTTTGTTTTCATTTGTTTCGTTGACCAACAGCTTCCAATGGTTACATCTGAACATAATAGGAGATGTGTTACTCAACTATTACAATGCCAGTTTGCCAGAGGACAAATTTCAACAGGAGACTGCTCTAGATTGGCTATCTATGGTCTACATGCTAGCGTATATACCGCTAATCTTTCCATTAACATGGCTTCTAGACAAAAAAGGACTTAGGGTTGTGATTATTTGCGGAAGTTTCCTGAATGCAGTTGGCGCTTGGATTAAAGTAGCATGTGTTAGCCCCGATCGTTTTGCGTTATTGATGTTCGGCCAGTCTGTTTGTTCGGTAGCTCAGGTTTTTATACTTGGTATCCCTGCGAGACTTGCAGCAATATGGTTTGGTCCAAACCAAGTATCAACAGCAACATCTTTAGGTGTATTTGGCAACCAGGTATATTATTTAACATTGTTTTGAATTAAGTACTGGATCCAAGTGGCCTACATGAGAAACAAATCAACAAAGACGATTTCCTCACTTTTCCTATCGTGAACTTTCAATATTCACGTAACATCACCAAGCCAACAGACAAGGGATAATATATCTATAAGAGTATACAATTTGCAGGTGCTTGTGTATCTTTACAGAAAATCTTTGGTAGAGAGTATCTGCTTGCAAGAACAGAACTAAACTAAAGTTTATTATGTCACCTCTTTTAAAGTTTTGTGTATCCTTAATGATATAAAATGTTCGGGAATGGTAAACTGATCATCTCCTCTTGTGGTACCTGTCGTGATGCTCATGGTTAGTATAAAAATCGGTTAATGGTGTTATCATTAAAAAACGACTTATTCTGCAAGTGCTAATGATGAAGAATAAACCGCTGCCTTCTCTATCATCTAAATCCGAATCGAGTTCTTTGTAGGGTATATCTTTAGAGTATGTATATGTTTTTCTTAAAAGGTAGTGTCGTCATTTTGTAATACTATGTATTCGTCACGCATTATCGCTTTTTCTTGCTCATCAAATCTTACTATTTTTTTTAAAAATTGCCCTGGCTTCATCTGGCAGTAAACACAATTTTAAAGAGTTGTTGTGAAGGATTTTCAATTACGCAGTCACGTCCGATTGGAATTGGGACGTTAAATCTATTATATCTCGTGTAGGAATATCACCATACTTTCTGCATGTTCAAGAATATTTGCAATAGCTCTCTGATGTGATTACGTTGGTGGCATGTTGGAAGGCAAAATCTCTGCCCTCATGCATAGTAAGTTTTTTTTCACTAGTTGCCAGTCTATTTCACTCCCTTTATGCATATTTTCAAAACCTACTTATGATCTTGAATGTACATAAATTGGAATATTTGGCATTGTATGTATAGCAATCGACAGTGATTCAAACTATTTTTGAATAATTTAATTTTGGATGTAACACGTCTTCTGATCGGCGGAAAGTTTTTTTGTCTATCAGCTCAGAGACATAATTTTGTATTGTGACCGTGAAGTCATCAACGTTTTTTTCATGATTTACTCCTTAAAATGGAATTTAGAATCAATTAATTTATAAGGAATGACTGTAATATTTTTTCTGTCTATTCGAAATAATCTAAAAAATGTGGTGCACATTTTTAAATAAGGCGCTACGCGGGTTATTCAGTGTGCACAACATTTTTTATGTTACTTCTCCAAAGACAGAAAAAATATTACTACAGTCATTCCTTAAAGAGTATAAGTACATGAACTTTTTAATATGCAAATTTCTCATGTTTGACTGTGAAGGCTTGCCATTATACGTGTATAACACTGCACTGTTTGATTTGACAGTTATGCTATTTACAATTTTGTATTTAAAATACTGATTTAACAATTTTACCATTGGATATTGGAGTTGGTATTACATTTGTACCTGTATTATCTCACAAAGAATGGAAATTCATGAAAAAGCGTATTCTAAAGAAAATCAATTCAAGAAATATAAAGCAATGAGATGTGTTATGATTGTCAATGAAAAAACTCTGCAAAAGACCACGTGACAAGGATGAACATGATGAAAATACCTACGGCATTGAGTAAAACCAATACCATAAAGTAAACTATAACAGGCCCTGGCATGAAAAAGTGTATATTGCTTCAATATACATTATGATAAGTATGGATGGATGTTAAAAGAATAATAACAAAAGTGGCCAAAGATACCGAAGAGACAATAAATCTCACGAAACCGACTTTCAAATGACAAAAAAAAAAGAAAAACGACGACAAGAAAATGAATAAAATGCTACATAGAAAACTAATTTAAAGATTAATCACCACCGCGAACCCCTACAAAAAGGCGGGAATGATCTCAGTTGATATTGAAATGGTAAACAATTCTTGCTCTAATTGAGGCACCTGTAGTGTTGCTCATGGAAATTTGAAATTCGATGACATGTCAAACAGCAGGTTATTGTTTTTTTCATTGCCATATTTGTAGATTGGTGCAGCTGTAGGATTTTTACTTCCTCCGCTACTGGTGAAATATAGTCCCGACATAGATCTGGTCAGCAGCCGTTTATATACTTTGTTTTATATTGGCGCTGGCGTCACAACGCTTCTCTTTTTATTGGTTTTAGTTAGTAAGTATATCTAAACATTATTTTCCGTCACTGTTACACAGTCTCTAAACACATCTGAAAATACACTCCATTGTTATTTGTTGTTTAATTGTACATGTGTTTGTGTGTGTTGATATACCATTGTCGAACATTTACAAGGTTTGTATTAGGCTTTGGATTTTCAAATATTTTGGTATCGAGCATCAGTGAAGAGACATTAATTGTCTAAATGAGCATCTGATGCAGTAAAAGTGGTATCGTTTATATTATTACTACCACTTGGTCGATACCTCTGCTGTTAGTCCCCGAGGGTATCACCAGCCCAGTAGCCAGTACTTCGTTTGGTACTGGCATGAAAACACGGATATTGCTTTGCTTAACATTTACTGTTATAAAATTTTGGAATCAATTTGAGTTAAGGAATATATCTCCCTCGTGCAAAGCTCTGATTCCTTTTGGATATACACCAGGTCCTTTTGGTTGATCATCTCTTCAATGTTTGTATTAGGTTTTGGATTTTCAATTTTTTGGTCTCGAGCATCACTGAAGAGACATTAATTGTCGAAACGCGCATCTGGTGCAGTGAAATTGTTACCGTTTATATTATTACGAGGACAGGTGAAATGAGGTCATGTGTCCGTCTGAAAAATTATCCAATTTGAATTAAATACAATCGAAGTTTTATAATTGCGCCTTTTATTTTACGTCTATTACATACACAAATGTGTATTCCGAATAGTTTTAAGTGAATGATTGCATTAATAAAACAAGGTTAATATATAATACAGTATAGGACGGGCAGATAATAACGCATCCAGATGTAACCTTTGTTCTTGACTTGACTGAAAATAAACTGACGTCAACAAATTAACTGCGTATTTTTTTTATAATTAAGTTGCGAAGGAAAACGGCGACTTCCTTTATTAAAGCGTGTGGAATCTTCTGTAAGGCATAAACATGCTAAAGCCGATGTCAATGACGGATTATCTTTTTTTTATCTGATTCATCAATCAGAATTTCCAGTAAATGCTCGTGATTTCTATAACATTGACTCTGTTGCATTTATACGTCGTTTTTATCAACAATGAGGAAATTTATCCTACGGTAACCCCTGAAAAAGAATTTTGAAGAAAATAAAAAAGAAAGATATACTAATAAATAATCTGAAAAAAAACTCAACATAATAAAAATGCCTAAGCAGTATCAAAAGTTATAAATACATCCCTAATTAAATCAGTTGATGTATACTATACATATATTTCTTTTGTAGTTTTTAAGAAAGAGCCCCCACAACCACCAAGTAGAGCCCAGTTGTTAGCAGTAAGAAATGCTGCCAGTCAACACTACGGTAAATCCCTGCTGAGATTATTAAAAAACAGAGGATTTCTTCTACTGGTATTAACTTATGGTATGTAAACAAATTGGTTTTTCTGTCACTCTTCGAACAGCAAACTTAAAGGTTACACGCCGGTGCTTTACTTTTACTTCGGAACAACTGGATAGAATATATCACAAAAAAAATTATTAAAATATAAGATATGGTAAGCATACTAAAGAGATAACTTTCCATCAGAGGTCAAATGACGTAAAAATAATCAACTGTATGTCATCGTATGGCCTTCCTCAATGAGCAAAATCCTTACCGCATAGCAAGCTATAAAAGGCCTCAACATAACACAAGAAAAACAATTCAATTTTGTCAAAAGCAAGTATGGATTTTGTGTCGTAAACAAATGCATTATATTTTTTTTTATTAAATAAAGGTGTCTAGCAAAAATAACAAAGCTTCTGCACGTAAACACACTTTAAGAATCTGCTTCACAACTAAATGAAAGCTGTATCAAAAGCGAGAAAAAATACACAACCAAGATGAAAATGAACGCCGTTATCAAAAGCAATCTTCACGTTTTTTTCAAAATATTCAATTCAAAACGACTAGTGAATATATTTTTAAACATTCTAGGATGTAATTTTAGGGATAAACACAGGAGCATACTACGCAATAGCAACATTAGTGAATCCCGTCGTTTTGAATTATTTCCCGGTATGTACTATTTACCTTTACATTTTTTTTATTATAAACTTGATGATATAAGGATTTACGAATTTAAAAAAAAAAGATTTTACTAGAAAGAATCATTCGTTGTATGCCTGTCCCAAACCAGGAGCCTAAAATCCAGTGATTTGCATTTATTGTTGTTTGCCATAGTTGTTTTTATTTGATTGCGTTTAGCATAAATCAGACCGTTAGTCTTCTCTTTTGAATGGTGTCATATTTTTGTAAATGCTAGGGTCTTTATATGTAACTATATGGAATGGGTTTTGCTCATTCTTGAAGGTCGTATGATCATCTGTGATTGTTAATTAGATCTTCCTTTGGTTACCGGTGGGTAGTGCATCTTTGGCCATCACACTACATGTCTTTATTTCTACCTGCGTCGCCAACGATGAAAGCAGGTCCAATAACCGATCGACTCTATCAGTCATTCCGTCATTCCGTCCGTCCGTCTGTCCGTCCAAAAAACTTTGGGTAGAACACTTTCGTCAATGTTTTCATGGCTTCTATGAAAGGGAATATGGTTTTAAATTTTGTCTGCAGCTTAGTAACGTTGTATTGTAGCGTTTAAGTAATTTTTAGATCTGCCGTGCAACTACTTACGGTTTGTCGATAGTTTGAAATTTGTTTAGCATTAATTTTTCACTGAAATTTTTTTCTTTGCTTCTAGGTGAGCGAATAATTTTATATTTGGCCTGAAGCTTGATAATGTTGAGTTGTAGCGTGAATGCAATATTTACATCTACCGTGCATCCACTTGCTGTTTGCTTCAAGTTAGAGATTTTACAATACTAATACGCATTGTTCAAGGACAATTTTTGTCAAAGTTTTCATGGGTTCAATGGAAGAGGACAATTTATATTTGGTCTGGAACTTGATAATGTTGAGTTGTAGCTTGTAGCATTTTAATCCCTTAACATTACATCAACGAAAAAAGTACTTTATTCAAGTCCAATTGAACATAGTTTTGGAAATCAGCTTCGTCAGTTATGCTTCTGTACAAATGTTACCTCAATTGATGCAACGCAGTTACAAATCCTGTATTGTTCTTGTTATGCTTGAAACTTGAAAACGTTACATTTTCTGCAATTGTGTACGAACTCGAATATGTGAATACTGGCGTTCAAATATTGGTTATCAAAAAAAAGTCAATGTGTATTCTCCACTGTTATAAATATTTAGGGTCATCAAAAAGAAGCTGGAGAAATAGGATTGACAGTGGTTATTGCTGGAATAGTAGGAGCTATACTGGCTGGAGTATGGCTTGATAAAACTAAAACATTCAAGTAAGAATTTCATCTCGGAGAATATTGTCAAATTGATTAGAATACAGATCAAGGGTCAAAGCATCGCTAACAAGGATATGACAACACTCCGTTCTACTTTCTGTTCTGGTAATTATTTCATCATCCAATGAAATTGCTACCTTAGCTGCCTACACATTTTTGAAGGTGTGGATCACATCATTAAGGGGATACCGAAAGTTCTTTAAGAAGTAGAACGGAACATTGTCAGATCATTGTAACCGAAGCGTAGACACAGGATCTATATCATAATCAGATTGGGTATTTGGGGATAATTCACATCATTACAAAAATATAGAAAAAAAATAACATTTTACAATCAGACGAGGAAACAGTAGAATAGTATTTTAAAAACTGTGTGTAGCAAACTTGTTTTGTTGGCTTGATGACTCATTGACGTACCGCCGTACATCTCATTTATTTCATATATATAAAACATGTAACAAGGTAGACTTGAGATAACTGATAAAATATAATTTTACTTCTTTTTCTGATTATCGCAGGGGAACAACCGTTGGTATATATTTGCTGTCGTTAGCTGGTATGGTGGCATTTACTTTCACATTGAATTTAAACTTACTTTGGGTAGTATATCTATGTGCCGTGATTTTAGGGTACGTATTTTCAACTTGTTACTTATTCCAATTTCAAAAAAAGAGTCACGATACCACCCGAAAAAAAATAAATATTGAGATGTTACATTTCTTGATGAATTAAAAAACGAAACTGCAAATTGGTATAAAAGCATATTTGCTTATACGAAGCAAACTGCATGTTTAAAAGCATAATCGAATGTGTGTGATGATATATCGCAATTTTTATTTACTATAGTTCACTGGAAATGACACATCACCTCGTTTAAATGAGTTGTAATGTTATTTTATGGTTGAAAAAAATATGTCATCATATATCATCAAGTTATTGATCTTTGATATCGAGGCAACGACTAAGACAGTGATAATTACCTTAAAGAACTTTTAGTATATATTACCTGTTTATGTATAGATATAAGTTGCCTTATGTTTTGCTTTCCAATCCCCTTTTTAACATCAGTGAACAAAACTGCAATATTTGCAATAAGATTTTGAGTTTTTAAACATTTTACCTATTACTAGAAATGCCACTGCAAATTGGTATAAAATCATATTTGCTTACACAAAGCAAACTGCATGTTTAAAAGCATAATCGAATGTTTGTGATGATATTTCGCATTTATTATATTGCACAGCTGGAAAATGACAGAAACTATCGTGAGACATTGCTGTTGTAGTTTTTAAACAAAAGTAGCGACCTAAATAAAAAATAGATGACTTTTCTCCCACAAGATCACTCAGAGAACATATTACCAAATACACGTACACCTATTGAAAAAAAAATCATTGAATTTACAATTTTCTTTTTACCTCTATAGTCATTTATTCAGTTTATATTTAGTACACACTATCATTAAGTTGATAATTTTTAGCATAGTATGCAGTTGTATGTATTATGACTCGAAAACTTCCTTTCTATAAACTTTTTCCATCTACGTAGATTTTTCATGACTGGTTACTTGCCTGTAGGGTTTGAAATTGCTGCAGAAATTACCTATCCAGAATCAGAGGGTACTTCATCTGGTCTCTTGAACGCATCAGCACAGGTAAAATGTTCAGAAGTATTTCCCTGAATGACTGATAACGTCTTTTGAATAGTAAGAGGGCAATAGACCAGTAATATTATACAATTACTGTCTTTTGATGAGGTAAATATCCGGTTGTATTGACTTTTGAAAAACTGATTTTCACTAAGGCCGAAGGCCGAAGTGAATATCAGTTTTCAAAAGTAAATTAAACCACATATTTACCAAAACAAAAGACAGTACTTGTTGTATTCCATATTTCGAGAGAAAACAATGTATTTAAAGACAAATATTAACCAAACCCAATTGTACATCAAACATTTTATCATAACGTTACATGTAAAAGCGCGTGATGTTTAGCGCTGTGAATATGCTGTTTTATTCAAAATTCAATTCATATATATAGAGAAACCTACTAAAATAATACCAGTATGGAATAAACTGATTTTCAAAATTCGTAAATTAATTTTTAATACAAAATTCAAGAATCTTAAGTATGAAAGAATAAACGTTTCTCCATGATAACATCAGTGAAACAATTTTTTATAGATTGACGAATTAATGAATGAATCAAATAATCTATAACTAACAACTTTTTGTTCTCTAAAACAGCACTAGATTCCCTCAGTTTATAAAATATTTTCGGTATTGCCACGACAATCACCGTTACACTCGGTACTGGTTACTGCTAACACGGCATGAAAACACATCACTTGATTTTTCCCTTTTCACAGGCAATGAAGTTAATATAAAAAAGGAATGTGATTAGATTGCCAATAAGACAACTTGTCATCGAAAGTACAAGGATACAAACAGGTTATCGTATGGCCTTCAACAATGAATAAAACTCAAGTCAATATAACCATGAATTACTGTCCGAAATAATTTTCTTGTTTCAGCTATTCGGAATCATTTTCACTATAAGCATGCGTGCAATGATGAATGAAGTCAGCATTTTTGGTGCTAATATTACACTCAGCTCATTCCTTCTTCTTGGAACCATTTTAACGGGTAAGTACTGTGATAAAGATGATTAAAGTAACAGACAAGTTATTAAGTGTTATTTTCATTTTACTAGCACTTTGTCGATACCGCTGCTAGTGGACTGGTAGTCCCCGATGGTATCATCAGCTCAGTAGTCATTGTTTCGTTACTGACATGATTTACATAATTTGTTACATTTAAGGTGGTACATAACACTACAGGGAGATAACTCTGTAAAAATCAGCTGAACGTTTTAATCACGTTCTATTGTTAAGGAAATATTAAGCTTCTCAATTATCAAAATTTTTGTTTATCAAACTGCTATATATCCAATGATTTTTTTCCGATAAAGTGTGTGGTTCAAGTTTTTTGAAATTTTCATATTTTTGTCAAAGGGTCAAAAGTAAATATTTTGTCAAAATTTTATGAAAATTAAACGAGCCAAATTAATTTTAGTCCAGGTGTTTGGTACCACCTTAACATATTCTTTTTCTAAATTCGTTGATGAAAATTTAGAAATTAATGTGAAATTAAAGTTCCTTCAGGTAAAGTTAACATTTAAGAATTGAATGCTTCTTTTTGTAAATTTATTGGGGAGTAAAAGCGCTAGCGGTCAACGCTTTTACAACCCTATAAATTAATAAAAGAAGCATTCAATACTTATAATTACATTTTTTTTGCTAGGATCATGAAAACACGATTTCTATCAAGTTTTTCCTTTATTTACCTGTGCACTTTATTGCGGAATAAATGAATGTTACATTTCATTTTTAAATGAAGGTTAATTTCAGAATGACGCGAAATTGCTGTTAGCCAATCAAAATAACGTATTATAATGAAACATACATGTAATGTAATTATTCATGGATGACATTTGCTTTTCTTGTTAGTTCCTTGTTGGTCATACAATCCTCACGTATTTGAGTATTTGTACATCCTCTGTTTTTAAATTTTTCGGTAAGTCTAGAGCGTTCCTGAAAAACGAAGATCCAGAAAAGTGCTTCAGACGTACCAGTTTTATCAAGTGTAATTTTCATTTTTCAGCATTGAGTCGATACAGCTGCTAGTGGACTGCTAGTCTCAGCACATATAATCAGCTCAGTAGTCAATGCTTCGGTACTGAAATTATTTACAGAATACAATTCTTAAATTTTCAATTGAAAAATTATCAATGATTCATAAGCTAAGGTTCCGACTCCTCGGGCAAAATTGAACTTAGATGGATTTGCTATTCCAACTACATATGTAGACCCCGTGTTGTCATATAATCCATAAAGTATTTAAGTATTTATATATACATCCTTTGCTTTCAAGTTTGTTTGTTTGATGGTTCGTGATTACGGAAAATTCAGAAAAGCGCTTCGGACGCAGCAATAGTATTTTCCTGGTAGTTTAATTTTTAATTAAAAAAAAAGGATTGGGTCGATCATATTGCTGGTAGCGGACAGCTAGTCCCCTACGCTATCAACAGCCCAATTGTTAATGCTTCGGTACTGATATTGATTTTAGCATAACTTTCTTAAAATTTCAGTGGAAGGCTACGAATTATAAAAAGGCAATGTTGACCTTTGGTGGATTTGGTTATTCTTTTAAGGTCCGTTTTGGTCAAATATCTCCTGACGTATTAATTTGATCACGTGCCACAGGGTTTAATTTTTTTGGGGTTTGGGCGTTCCTCACGAAGGTTAATTAAAAAAAATTGCATCGAGTTTGGGACGCACCAGATCTATGAAGCGTTATTTCAGTTTCATAACACAGCAATTCAACAACACAATAAAGCCAGAACAGATTATTGTACACCAGATCTATGAAGCGTTATTTCAGTTTCATAGCACAGCAATTTAACAACACAATAAAGCCAGAACAGATTACTGTACAATACGTCAAGCTTGAAATTGTCCTAGTTAAGACAAGTTGTGAATAAATCTTACAAAAGTTATGTCATTAACAACAATACTTTTAAATATAAAAGACGTAAAGAAATTAAGAAATATTCAAAGCAAAGATGTTTTTTGTTGGGACATACATTCAAATATCCGACGAATTTGAAGGAACTTAAATCCGTTCATGTGTCTCATTCAGAAGAACAACAAGGTTACTTGACATATCAGAGTAAACTTCACTTCAGCGAAAGCACATACTAGTATGTCTCTAATATCGGTACAAATGTATCACAGATAACAAAAACAGGAATGCGAACACGATCACTTTAGTTGCCATAGTATATTTGTTGTCGGAATTTCACGCAGAAAATAAAATAAATAAACATTTCACATGTATTTAAAAAAAAAGTTTAAATAATATCAATTAGATTAATTTCAAATTGAATTTAAAAAACTCGGACGAAATGATTTCATATATAAAAGCCAATAATTAATAAATGATATTGATTTTATAGGCGTTATATGAAATATTTAAAATCAATTAAATTCCTGCTAATGGAATCCCTTATTTTATTACACTACTTTTTATATGTATACAAACACTTCATTTTTTCTCTTTATAGCGTTAATAGGTGCTAATTACAGACGACAGACTGCTGAAAAACAGGTACGATATGTATATCATATATCCGAGGTATAACTTTGCACGCCTTATATTATTTATGCTTTACAAACACCATAAGACATGGCCTATTATTCTATTTTAAGATTTTAAATGTTGTTATCGGATATTTTTTGTATTGCAGCACATTAATATTGATTTTTTTTTTCTTTCCGAATTCACAATCAATACCTTTGATTTTTGCTATTTGAACTAATTTTCAATGCTAGAACTTCAAAAGATGTAATTATATCTATCACAACAGCAAAATAACAAAATCACAGATGAAACACTCCCGCAATAACGGAACAGACAAAGCAGTGAGTGGGTCTTTATAGGGGAGGGGGGTATGTTTTTTTCCTAAAAAAAATTCTGATCCCCAATTTGATGAAAAAAATATTGTAGTCAAGCAGATGACAAAAAAAAAAAAAAAAAAAAAAATTCTGAATCTAGATTTCTCCCATACCTTATAGTGTTAAATTTTGAAGAAAAAAAATTGATTGATAGCGTCGAAAAACTAAAATAAAAATGTTCGTACTTTGCGCGAAAAAAAATTCTGATTCTGACAAAAAAACCAACAACCCCCTTGAAGTTAAATGGTTTAAAAATAAAGCAAATTCAGAGAATTGTATAAACTCCAAAAGTTGCGAGACCGGGTGTGTCGACACGGTAAGCGTCTCCTGCTATGCGTGGATCACCCGCCATGCGAATTCACACTCAGTCAAATTGTTACAATCGAGAATAGGACAAAATCGATAAAATTACTGATCAAATGGCTATTAGAGTGATCTAAAGATATAATACCGCGAGAAAATGAAGTAGTGAGTTGACAAACACATGTACATCGTATGGTTCAACCATATGGTGATGTTGACCGAAAATATGTAGTGTCAACGCAGTACGTCATGCTTCCTCATAACTCTGTCAGCAGAAACCCTGGTATGGAGCACACCATCTTGATAAGTTCGTAAATATATTATGAACATCCACAGTAGTAACGTATTGATTAAGAAATGTTAATCCAATACAAAGGGGGGGGGGGGGTATGTTACTTCTGATAAATTGGAAGTTTTTGACAATTGGAAAGTGGAAATAATTACGTTTGTAATAACAGATAATTTTAGTACATAAACAAATATAACATACACATATACATGTATATATGCTTTCCGTGTTAAAGCACCTATTTCTAAGTTTAAATTTTCATGCACACTTCTACGTACTATGCTAGAATATATAACAAGCGTTTTTTCTTGTTGATTTTTCAGAGAGTTTCAAAAATAGACTTTCTAGACATCAATATCATTTCTACAAAAAATGAAAAACAATCTGCACAAAAGGACAATGAATGCCATTAGATGTGTGCTGTTTGCGATGCATGATGCATGCAAGAATGATTTCGAAACAGTCTTCCATCATTGACCGAAGATGTTACAAATATAGATGAATACTGAATGGAACATCACACTGTTACCCAATACTAACAGAATCAACTTTTGTACGCTCATATCGGTTCCTATGTGTCAATTGTACATGTTTTATGCCTAATTCACACATTCATGGATCACCTCGCCGGTTCCACTACGGATTGAATCTCACGGATGATCCCGGAATTGCAGTTTCTGTAGTCTGTTACGGATCCGATACGGATGCACAACGGTATGACTACGGGCTTTCACGTATTTACCACGGGTGAAGTAGGAAAGGGGTCATTTGGCGACATGACTCATACGGATTCGTACGGTACGACACGATTTAATACGGATTCGTACGGTACGACACGATTTAATACGGAAATGACACGGTTTAATACGTAACGGCACGTGTCGGGGCGTATGTACTGCGGATAAACAGCGGTTTGCTACGATATAAGTAATCATTTCTATTTTCTTTATGGCAGTTAATCGATGTTTTTGTTTTTTGTTTTGTTTTATTAAATCAGTTATCGCTCTGTCTGTACTAGGTGGTTTTATTCGTAATCGTCAGACCAACGGCATTTAGCAGTTCTTGGATCATATTTGGGTCTATTCTTTTAAAGTTCTTAAATGCAGCTGAATTTTCCGCACACAGTTCAGCCATGAGGGTCTAATACTGGCCATTGATAAGTCTTCGGAGAAGCCAGTCCCTAGTCCACCATCTCCTCTGCCGCCGGTCACATCTACGTCTGTCGTCAAGTAGCTCGACCACTGTCCTTGCATTTTTTGCCATATCAATATCTAATTCCAGTCAATTAATTGCAAGCATCAGTTGTTGATTGTTCATGTTTGATAATGTTATGTATACCTCTACGGCAAGACACGGACTAGGGGCCCTATAAGTAAGTTATTTATACAGAAGCCTGATGCCAGTTTGTCGTGGGCAGTAATATTCCGTATTTTGTAGAACCCTTGGTGATCCCTACCTATCCGTATTGCAACGTTATGAAATCGTGCCTTTCCGTGACAAATTCGTATCCGATCGTAGTGTATCCTTAACAAATACGTGGTGCAACCGTACTAGTACGTAGTTCTCAGAAACAGACCGTAGAAATACTTCGGGCATACGAATAAGAACGGATTAATACGGTTTTAATAAGGACTAAAATGGATCAGTACGTTCAAATACGGTTTAGTAATATACTACGGTTGTTTGATCCTTGGTCAAATTTTGCGCATGTTCAAAAATTGTCCCGGATATATAAGTACTACTACGTATGACTACGGACCAATACAGATCTTGCCACGAATGATGTCGGATCGCATCCGTGGCTAATCCGGTGTCAAATCCGTGAATGTGTGACCTAGTCTTATGCTACATGTGTTTTTTTGATGTTGTTTTTTTTGCTTCGCACCGATCTGTTGAGTTAAGCCATTTACCACTGATTTTCATAGTTTCTTCTTATGTTGTGTTGTAACACCACTGTCACATAGTGGAGGGTTAAGCGCATACAAACATGTTTAATCCCGCCACTATCTTCATGTTCTTGTCCCAGGTCAGAAGCCTGTAATTCAGTGATTGTCGTTGGTTTATTTCTGACATACATGTATTTTTTTTTTTTTTTTTTTTTTGTAAATTGTATTGTTATGAACATGACCAGATGACGAATTAAGCCGTTCGTTTTATTTTTTGTAGTTGTTAATTTCACATTTGTCATGTGTTTGGGTTTTTCTCATTGTTTAAGTCCGAACGGTGGCATGAAATTGCTTATATCTTCGTTATTTGAAATCTGGTGGATAGTTGTCTCATTGACAGTCATACCACATCTCCCTATTTTTATATTGATGCACATTCAGTTCAATAAATTATCCCGTTTATACTGTTTCGTTGCATGTTGTTTATAAAAAGGACATCTGTAGAAGAGGGGCGAAAGATCCCAGAGGGGCATTCAAACTCATATGTTGCAAATAAACAGACAACGCCATGGCTAAAAAAGAAAAAGACCAATAGACAAACAACAGTACACAAAACACAACATAGAAAACTAAAGACTGAGCAACACGAACCCCACCTGGGGGGGGGGGGGGGGGGGGTGATCTCAGGTGCTCCGGAAGGGTAAGCAGATCCTGCTCTATATGATATGCAAGGCTGATTTTGACATGCATTTCTTTTCTAATCAAACTTTTAAACTTTAAATTCGTGTTTCCTTCTTGTGATGTTTACAATTCATGTTTTGAACAAGATTTATCTAAATATGTATTGAATATTTGAAAACAACAAATACATATACATGGAGTGTCATTTTATATATTTTGCTGATTCACTTGCAATGATTAGTAAGGAATAAAGCTCTATTGAAGAGACACATTTTACCTTGGAAAAAAAGGGGGGCGGAAGATACCATGGGGACATTCAAAACTAAGTCGAAGAGAAACCGACAACGCCGTCATGGCAAAAAAACGAATGTTACCTCTGATAATTAGCTGCCACGGACCACATTTACATAACAAAATAGATTGAACACAATTATATTGATTGACTGCAAGCCAAATCAATGTTCAATGCTAAATTAAATTACCAGTACATGTAGGAAAGCTTAAATATTTACTGAAATATATGATGTGATTGATCAATTTCCCCGTTAAAAATTTTGATATCGGTTTAAAAAAATTAATTGGTATCTTGCACAATGGATATTATAATACTTCTATACCCATTCAGGAGTATTACGCAATAGACTGATTATTTCACAAAAAACGTAACCTGTGCTGTATTATAATTTGGTTCTGAGTCCGTGCTAAATAAATCTGTTGTATTGGACAATAATGGAATGATCTTGCCTTGGAAGGGGACTAACAAGACAAGTCAAAACTAAAATAAACTGCACATCTTTATTCTCAAATCATCCTACATCAACAAAAGCAAAATACGGGTCCGACATTACACCCTAATAACCTGGAATAGCCCGACCTCGAACCGGATTCAACCGAACTACATAACAATAATGCATACAAAGAATAACAGGAATTACCATAAATATTGAAGTGTACAACAGACCACACATACCAACAACGTACCACAGACCACACATACCAACAAAGTACCACAGACCACACATACCAACAACGTACAAGAGACCACACATACCAACAACGTACAACAGACCACACATACCAACAACGTACAACAGACCCACACATACCAACAACGTACAACAGACCACACATACCAACAACGTACAACAGACCACACATACCAACAACGTACAACTGACTCCTCCGGAACAAAACATATATACATAAAAACAACAACAAGAGTACAACAGACCACACATACCAACAACGTACAACTGACTCCTCTCGAACAAAACATATATACATAAAAACAACAACAACAAACAATACATATCGTCTACAAAGTATTTCTTACTTGTTTTGGAAAGAATTCCGCTCAAACCAGTGCTAGGGGCCGTCTTAAACTTGCAATGAGGTGAGAGTTTTTTGCTCCGTGTTGAAGGCCTCACTGTGACTTTGAGATGAAGAACAGTAATAAAAGCGCTGTTCCTTTGCGTTTTTCTGTTTTTTTGTTGTACATGTACTGATTTTGTGTCATGGATAGATATCCAATATCCTTTGTTTTCTATAAAATGTACAGGCACAAACGTGCTGGATTACGACTAGTTTTCATTTGACTGGTTCAGCTACCAACATGACTACTAACTAGGAAAAAAAATGGGAAGGCACATAATTTCGAAAGCATTGTGCTTGCTTGATGGTGCAATTTGATAGCAGTTGTATGACAGCAATATCCGATGTACGTGATCTGAGATATGTTCACAGTAAAAATAAAGATCATCTTCAAAGATACCAGGCTTATAACTCTGTAAGCCAGACGCGAGTTTCGTCTATAAAAGACTCATCATTGGCGATCTAATCAAAAGGTTAAAAAGGAAAAAGAAGTCGTTTTTTTATATTTACTTTTGACGATAAATCAGACATCGTCTGCATATGTAATTATTCTTTACAGTTTTACGCTAATTACCCCTACCAGAGATACCAGAAGTATATTCCTTAAAATTGAGTTGTTGAAACAGAGAACTCGCTTGTTTGAAATTTTGGTATGATTGCTTATGAGACAACTATCAACAAAGTTCAAATAAAGTGGATGAAAGTGAATATGTATAGAAACACAAGTATTACTTCAGATATGACGCTAATATATAACGACTGTAAACTATTTTTGAAACATTCAGAAGTCAGTAGCTTTGTATTGTATCATGTAAAAGTAACAAAGCAATAGTCTTTTAAGTCAGCTTCATAAGAGTCATATTCTTGAAAACGACACAGGTTGTAAGATGCCACCTGGGTACTCTTTGTGGCAGATTTGCAGATGGTTATACGATTTTTATAAAAATTTACTTAAAATTGGTCCTTTTTGTTAGAGGTATTGGACTTTGGCCATATTAGTCTATTGTAGCGTTTCTGTGAACTCTTTTTTTTAGAGATTTGCTGGGATTTTTGTATTTACAAGATCAGTTTTCTACTTGTTGTGGAGTAGAATGACAAATTGAAAGTGCTGCTGTTGTGGAGTAGAATGACAAATTGTAAGTGCTGCTGTTGTGGAGTAGAATGACAAATTGTAAGTGCTGCTGTTGTGGAGTAGAATGACAAATTGTAAGTGCTGCTCCTTCATCATCATTTTTGGCCTTGGTATGGTTGCCAGACTTGGCTAAATTTTATCATCGGTACAAGGACATCATTCGTAACTATAAATCAACATGCAGACATCTTAATACGTTCAGGTATTTCACATCCAACATTATATGGTAATATTCTTTACAAAGCACAAAAATGTCGGCATTCACCTCAAAAACTAACCAAACCTTTAAACACACTAATCGGAAAGGGTACATTTACGATACTGTTGTCAGGTCATTATGGATTGCATATTTTGGTATTAATATTGATTCACTCATAGGGTCTTTGCATTGGAAATAAACACATTTATTCTAAAACCAGTTGTTGGCATGATACAGGTTATGTTCTTCTTATATATTTTATGATGGTATGATACTAAACCTCTAACGGGAGGGATTGTACTTGATTTTTATATGACGGAAGACATAATCTTTTAATCAGTTTAATTGAGGTCTGGCATGTCAGTAACTGCTAGTAGTCCTTTGTTCATTTATGTATCATTGTCATTTTGCTTAGTTTCTTTTGTTCACTATTCTGACTTATTTTAAACCGAGTTTCACTGTGCGTATTGCTATGTGTTTCTTTATTCTACATTGGCTAAAGGTATAGGGCGAGGGTTGAGATCTCACAAAACATGTTCAACGCCGCATTTTTGCGCCTGTCCCAAGTCAGGAGCCTCTGGCCTTTGTTAGTCTTGTATGTTTTTAATTTTAGTTCATTTATATGTTTTGGAGTTTAGTGTGACGTTCATTTTCACTGAACTAGTACAAAATTTTATTTAGAGGACAGCTGAGAACCACCTCCGGGTACTGGATTTTCTCGCTGCGTTGAAGACTCATTGGTGGCCTTCGGCTGTTGTCTGATCTTTGGTGGGGTTGTTGTCTCTTCGATCGACATATTCCCCATTTCTATTCTCAATTTTATTGGTAGAATTGTTTTCAATCAGTCATGTATAGTTAATTGACCCATGTTGGCTCCATTTTGGCTGCAGTTGGGGGGGGGGGGGGGGGGGGGGGGGGGAATATGGATGGGACTTTATCCCTATAGAAGATTATCGAATACTTCAAACTTCTGTACGATGACATCTAAATATCATTTGGTTTGTTTGTGTCATTGGGTCACAGAGTTTCGTTGAATAGATATCCCGTAATTCCTTTAATTCATACATAATTATTGCAATTTTGTTTATTGGCGGCGGCGGACATTTTGTTAGTCTAAGGGCATTAGCAATTTTGAAAACTGTAATGCAGAGAAAAAAGATATATATATATAAACAGAAACAAATATAGTCTGCAGTTTATCGAAGTTCCCTATGGCCAAGGTGAGCAATACGGGATCCTTGTAGCTTCTAAATGTCCAGTGTATATCCTAAGACTATATGCGGAATTCCAACAGCACCAACCTTAAGAGGACACAACCAAGGGTTCCTTGAATATTCCATTTGAAAGAACGCAGCTATACCAGCACTCGTGCTTCCCAGACACCATCAGATTATGTAACAGCCTGCAACTTAATTGACACTTTTAACCGTGCAACTTAATTGACACCTTTAACCGTGCAACTCAATGGACACCTTTAACCGTGCAACTCAATTGACACCTCTAAGCGTGTGTTGCAGAAGACAAGTTGTGTTAAAAACTGTTTGAGAGATTTTAATTGTGTTTTTTAACTGTACTGCAAATATTGGTTTGTCTGCACAACGCATCAGTTCGAAAAAAACACCAGATGGTGGACTGAACTTCAAACGAAAGAAGAAGAAACAATGCAGGGGGAAATGTTCACATTCCCTTTTGTTATCAAGAGTACGCAATTATGTGTTAAAAACCTCTAGATGTCCCCTTTATGTTTTTAGGTTGCTGTCTCATTACTTGTGTGTTAGTGCAGTTAACATTGCACCTTAAAAATATGTTGAAGCAGCGAATGTATATTTTATGTTTGCTTAAAGGGTTGTAAAAGCGTTTAGCAAAGCATATTCTAAATGAGTCAGCAATATTCATTGAAATGTATTTAATTCATCTTTCAATCATTTTAAGAACTTGGTAAATTCTTGTTCTGGCAGCTCAGGCAAATGGTTCACCTAGCTGCAACACCAGATAGGGACCAGATAATTCTGTTTATTGTTTTTATTTAAATGCTTTGTTTTTAGTATGTTTTACTAATCTCTATGTGTTTTTTTATGTTGCAGACCCTTTAGAATTTGCTTAATTTGTGTTTTTACCCCATAAGTTCATGCTTAGGTATGTGTATTTCGTTACATTTGTTTGTTTTTATAGTGATTAAGATGATAACACAATGTTGACTGCTGTACCCCTATTTTTGACATTTTTACCTATTGTGTCTGTTTGTTTTGTTCACGCATCGTTGTCAATATAATGG